ACTTTTCGCATCGAACCATTTGTAGTTTTCCATTACGTTCATTAAACAAAAGAACAAAAACATGTTGATATTCATGTGAAAATGATATAATTCTTTAATGGCATCGTCAACTGAATATCTCTCCGACTGTTTATAATGACCGTAGTTATTATTTTATTAATGTCTTTCTCAGCTGAATAATGTAAGTAAACTGAGAAAATATCAGGAGATATACTCCGAAGTATCCACTACAAAATGGGAACGTGTGAAGAAAAATAAGAAAGAAAGTTTAAATTACCACTAGGTATACGCTCGTAATTACTGGCCTTGATTTATTTGTCTTATTTTCACTCGATCGATATGAATTGCCGTTTGGCGGAAATCGGAACGACAAGTAGAACGGTCATTCCATTACGGTGGAAAACTTTCGGTAACCTTCTGCAACCTGTGGTATATTTTTTGTGTGAGACTAGAATTTGACGATATTTATTTTCAAAGCAAGACGGCGCATATGTGTGAATTTTCTGTCTCTGTAAGATATGAACGTATGAAATAGGGTTACGTCTAGGCAGAAGGAAAACGGAAAGATTTGTGATGCACATATGATATTTGAAAACATAACAGAACGTTTGTAGGATTAGAGAGTGTACATATTTAACGGATAGAGGCTTTCTCACATACGACCAAGATTCTAGGACAGATTTTTCTTAGCTGAACTAACTGCTTGGCATACATTTCCTCTTGGATAAATTCGGGTATTTCTGAATACTCTTTCTTGTTTCATTTTTATTGTTGCGTTTCAACGTCAAAGACACCTTCGTCAGAGAAAAGTAGACTAAATGTGAAGAACATATAATTAATTACAGTATATATATATATATATGTAATAGTGCTGACGAAGAACAAGACGGAGACAAAGTGCTAAAGAGACAGCGACTGATTATTGCTGTCTTGTTCGTCGGCACTATTGCATATATATAGAAAAAAATGGCAAAAATATCTTGACTCGACTCGGACTCGGAAAGTAGCTTGACTCGCCCATCTCTGCAAGCTACCTCGAAGACGAATACAAAGCAATTGTATTTCTTTATCTGCTCAGGAATTGTGTTTATTTTAATGGCCTGATCGTACACGACGTTAGAAAATAAGAAGTTTGTTGCATATGACAGACTGATAACATAACATATAGAGAATATAATCTGTTGATGAAGCGAAAAGAAGAAAATTTTACACCGTTAATATTTTTCGATCAATAAAACTTCATCTTCTGCCTTTATCAATGATTAAATAAAAGAGTCCAGAAAGAAGGAAATCATCTGTTCTGCTCGAACATTCAACTGGTGTAATCAGCTGCGAGGATAAACTGGAGAGCAGTTCTCCTCTAGCGTTCTCTTCTAACTTATCTTAACCCTTTCCAGCCTGATGTTGCCATTTGGCAACACTTTTTGCTGTGTTTTCGAAACAGCCGGCTGGAAAGGGTTAACCTAGGAGACTAATCAAACTTCTCTAAAACGATAAAAATGAACTAATTTTTTCTTATTTGTCCCATTTTTCGATACTGTTCGCCTCTTTACTGTCGCTTTTTTGCTTAAATATGACTCATTTTTTGATTAACCAATCAACTCACGTCAGTAACCCAGTGCAAAAAGTTTAGCAATCACGTTTGTTATTTTCTACAATTAGGCTTACGAGGGAACCTTCTCAGATGTCAATAAACGTCTAGGACTGCCACAGGAAAACATTTCAGTCCTCCATACCGTGTTTTCACTGAGTTACGAATTTTTCAATGTTTTATGTAATGCACTGATCTCGGCAAAGTAGAAAAAATCATAACTTTTGAATGAAGTAATAGGGGCCCAAATTCTTTTAGGGTTTTTGCTAGGTCACTATATAGGATCTATGAGATCCTTGAAATCGGAGATTGACGTCTGAAAAGATCCCTCGTTAGCTTGCTGTTTTTAAAACTGCAAATATTTTCGTTTCTGTTTACGTGCAGAGTCCTTCTTCCGATTGTTTAGTTCACTATAAAGTTACGATGAAATTTGTTTTCGTTTCAGATTTCAGGTGTGTTGCCTTTATAGAGAAACAACATGATAAAAGTCAGCTCCACTAACGTCAATAAAAAGAAATTGGTCAGTCCATACAGGCAGCTAATAGCTTTATGCCTGCATGTCCTAGCATTGGATAGAATGGTCTTGGAAAGACGTCATTGAATTCTAGTCAAATACGTACTGTCTAATTGAAATGTGAGTGATGCATCATATTCATCTAAACGTATTTTAATTATATAAGAAAATTGTCCAATATTTTCCAGTACTCGAATATTTTCTTTGAAATAATCGCGTAAACACCCGATTTCTTTTTCATTGTTGTCTTTTGTTGACGTTGTCAACGCTGGTGTTGATGCTTCTAACATGGTCGTTACTCGAAACAAAAGGGCAACACACCTGAAATCTGAAACGAAAACAAATTTCATCGTAACTTTATAGTGAACTAAACAATCGGAGATGTATTGATATTAAACATTTACAAACAATTATTAAAATGGTTTGATGAAAATAATATCCAAATGGTTCGTATAAGTGATGAGCATTCACCACAAACAGCAGCTACAACGACGAATGGCACACCGAATTTCAGTAAAAAATCCAATGTTATTGATAAAATAGAAACTACTGGAGACGAAGCTAAAGAAAAAAAAACATCGATGAAAACAGCTGATGATGTCATTTCAAGAATACAATGGGACGAGAGATTAAAGAAAATATATTTTCGTGTCGGTTATATTGATCGATTTTTAGGTTTGCAAGAAAAACCGTTTACAGATTTTGATTTTGAGATTGATTTAGCATCCGTGAATGATCGATGTTCAACAATACTAGCTATACCCAAACATCGTATTCAATATTTTAAATATCAAAATGAAATAATATGGGATAAAGAAACGAGGACAGATAATGTATTCGGCTCAACAGGAAGTCAATTAACAATCTACGACATTATACAACGTTTACCGCCAGTTACCGACAATAATGATGTAACGACAAATGAAGATAATGAACGGTCAGTAAAACCAGAGATGGGAGAAGGTACAAAGTTTGTCCCGAGATGTTTGTAGCTATGAAAAAGTTATACCTTCCTTTAGTCACTTTGTAACGTACAAGTCGGAGTCAATAACAGTTTGACTATATATATTAGAGTAGAAGTGTATGCATTTTTTCAACATAGACACACGCGCAAAGTTATGTGTGCGCTCGTGAATGAGAGAGGGAAAGCTGGGTGAGAGGGAGCCCGAAAAGTATTTCCATTCTAAGGGTTCATCAATTCCGTAGATAAGTAAAGAGAGTAAAAGACTGAGTATAACTTTTTCATAGCTAAATTCATCTTGAGATAAACTTTGTATCATCTCTCAGTTTATTTCTTTTATTTTATCCAGTTTTTCTCTCATCAAGATTTTGGCAAATTCTTCATTATATTGCGAGACATTGTGTGTTTCTTGGATACGAAATGTGCACAACATGATCTAGAGAACTACGCCGCGTAGGATAGTTCTTAAAATGGTTCTCTGGATACTGAAAATTGACCATTGAGCATTCTTTTGCCAAAAATTCCTCTGGATCCGCCGTCACAGGATTCGAAAGTAGAAGAACTTTGTGCTTTTGACTTTGAAATTTTTCATATATTCATTAACAGCTTGTTGTCCGGCGCCATTTGTTTACGGGTTATTCTGATACAGTTTATCTATTTATATATGACTAATATTATAGATGAGCCATTGCCATTGCTTAGGAAGTAAATGTATTACTATCTTACATATAATGAATGTAGCATTCAACAAGTAACTGTCAAACATCGTGATATAATTGAACGTCCTAAATACCTTAAAATCTAACAGAAAAAAAATCGTTCAGAACACGAAAAATAATTCTCTCTCACGTTCTTTCTCTGTTCAATTCTCTTTAACCCTTTACACCCGGCGATCCCTTCCAAGGGACATTGATGTAATAGATTTATACAAAGAACGGATCATCAGGCCATAAGCTAGATTATTACCAATGTAGAACAATAGAGTAGCCTAACTTTTGATTGAAATAAGAAAAAAACATTTCCATTTTAATCCGATATTTTGAAATTTTAAAACTGAATGAAGTTCAAAAATGAATTTTTTGGTTTTAGATATTTTCTATACTTGTAGCCACTAAATCATTTTCTAATTTTGTAGTTGGTAGTTTTGGTTGTATGGATGTACTTTATAATGAAATCAAAGC